ATACTGATCTGTATAATTTTTTTTATTTAGATAATGCTTAAGAACTGCGGCCAGTGTATTTAAAATATAAAAGTTGTTTCATCATGAGGTATACTAATTTAAAATCTGAAAGARTTAAACTTGTCTAAATTGTTTTATATATTCTGAATTCTGATGTGATATACATAGATAAAAAAATACATTTACAGTGTATTTAAATTTAATAGAAAAAGGAAATTTTATCATTTGTCATTGCTAGGTAATAGGTAATGTTGTAATCTCTGTTATTATGTAGTACCTACTCTTTTTTATTTTATAGAATTCATGGTCAGTATTGAGTGAAGGTCACCAAGTATGACATACATAATATTTACTGAGGCACCTATTTTAATTTTCTTATTTTATAAATTATATCTTACATATAATGTTAGTTGTTTAATTTGTAACTAACTCTTTTAATTTTTGTAGAGATACATATACCTATTTATATTGTATTAAAAACTTAATTTCTTAATGTATCTTAAGATGTAAATTATTTGATTTTAACAATAAAAAATCTATAATTTATCTATAGGATAGGTGAATTAGGTAATTTTTTACAAAATTAGTATCTACATTTTATAATTAATTTCTGAGAGAATTTATAGAATTGTATAAAAGATTTTTTTAATWATAAAGTTGTAAGTAATGATTTAGTTTCATCCGAGGTTTCCTATGAAATCAAAATCTTAAATTTAATCCAGGGGTATTGGTGTTAAAATACCCTCTTTTATTTATGCAAAAGATTATTATGTTCTATATGATTTAGAATTTACAAGTATCCACTGACATTTTTTAGTCAGGAGAGCAAAGATAATTTTTAGAAAATGATGATTATTTTCTAAAGAGAACATTGAATTTATGTACTCCTATGGTTGAGATTTTATATGAAATTTACAATCTCTWCTTATTGGACCAATGTGAAACATGATAGCCTCATCGTACAATAGTCGCATTTTTAGATCTAAATGGATAGTATGGTTAGATACTAAAGGAGGAGTATTTAATAATTTATGTAGTGCTATATTTTAAAAAGTTAAGTTTTAAATACCACTTTTATTTAAATTGTAACAATAGAAACTAATATGTATTAGTATAAATGTACATTTATTGCTAAATGCCAACTTCAAGCATAATATTTAATTTACAGTTTTTCGATTTAACATAAATTCTTACGTATATTTTTCAACTTTATATRTTTAATTAAAACTTTAATTTCATTGATTTCAATAGTCATATAATAGTTATCTTACAATAAAAAAACATGATAGAACAATGTACATATATATATATATATATATTGGGCATTAAAAAAATTCTGTAAGTTAAAAATTATATTTGATAGAACCTAAGAAAAAAAACCTTGGTATAGATGTACGAGTCAGTAGTAATTAATGGCTTATAGAATAATTTTAATTTATAAATACTTTTGATGTGATTATATGAGGATTTGTTAGTAATTACCAGGTGCGTAGCCAGGGGGGGTGTTACAGGTGTAATAACACCCCCCCCTCCCTCAGCCGTAGTAGGTATACTTAATATTTTTTTATCAAGATAAAGATGCCACATAAACACGAATTATCTTAAATCGTGATTTACACTTATTTATCAAAATGAAATATATTAGTTTATATTACGATAACAATAATGTAAAGCACTAAAGCCAGGATCCGGCATTAATTACTATTTTAGACYGTTCTGTGACGTTTTATTGATTACTTGTTTCATGCACGATTTAATATATCTTTTCATGCAGCGTGTAAGAAAACGTTTACAACTTCTTAATTATTGATTGTTTGATTATCCTCGTTACGGCATTTAAAAACATATTTGAGGAACACAACTGGTGAAAATCGGTTGAACGGCTTAGCAGCTATGAATATTCATCGGGATTTAGTCGTAACCACTGACGAAAAAATTGATACTCTAGCTTTAAAAAATAGACGCATTAAATTAATTAAATTAAAAATAATTTTTATTTTTTGCATTAATTATAATAATATATATGTGAATAATTTAAATATACCTACATAAAGTGATCAATTTTGGGTGTATAATTTTTTCAATTAATTTTGAATAACACCCCCCCCCTTTTAGAAATTTCTAGCTACGCGCCTGGTAATAACTAATACCCTTTAAATATATCAAGTTGACAGGGATCCTTAGTAACAATAAATGAAACAAAATTATTTAAAAGTTTGAAACTAGACTTTATTTGAAGGCGTTAAGTTCACCGGGTCAGCTAGTATAATTATATACTGTAAGGCATATAAATAATAGATTATTTTTTTTTTGTTTTTACAAAAGACGAGCAATATTTAATATCATTAGTAATATTCAATATAGAATTTTTTTATGTAACATCATTAATTTATTTATAAAAAAAAAATACTACAGCTAAGAAGTATTTTTTGTCCAATATTTATCTACCTATATTTTTAATATATATTGAAACTGATTTCTCTATTTTGAAAAGAATTAAATAATTTCAAAAGCTGACTATTTTCGTTTGAAATTAGAAATGGTAAATTTACATTTATTTTTATATCATAGTTGCAATGTCATAAGGTTCTCCATTCAAACCCTTTCAATATTGACACATGGTATAATTATTAACATTTTTTTAATGATTTTTCATAGATT